TACGAGGGCTATGTAGAAGAACCCTTGTATATTTTAGAGAATGTGCCTGAGTTGCTGTCCCACAGACCTAAAATTGCAATCCTATAAAGAAGAAGCAAGAGAGGGATACCCCTAATCAGGAAATATAAGAAAATAATGGATGGAAGGCAGAAGGCATAATGTAACAACCGGTTTGCCCAGAATCGAAAATGTGAGCTCACACCTTCCGCATATGCGTGCTGCTTCAAAACATGATTATGTAGGACGGGATAACTCTGGGGCAGGTGAGCGGGCTCAACCACTGGTTGGAACTACTGGTTTGCCTGAACTGGTCCGAACCAGCAGCAGCCCACCTCTGTTGGAAGAGGGGGGGGAAATGCCATAGTTCCCATCCTGATTTGGTGTTGCCTTCATCAGTGGGAGACCACAAAACCCTTCTTATTCTGATGGATATAATACAGGCAGTCCACGACTTACAACAGTTCATTTAGTGACTGACTGTTCAAGGTTACAGCAGCATTAAAAAAGTGACTCACAGGTATTTTTCAATGTTACAACCTTCGTCATTATCACGTGAGCAAAATTCAGATGGTTGGCAACTGGTTCATATTTATGACCATTGCTGTGTCCCAAGGTCATGTGATCACCTTTTGTGATCTTCTGACAAGCAAAGTCAATGGGGAAGCCAGATTCACTTAACAGCCAGGTTATCAACTGCAGGGATTCACTTAACAACTATGGTAAAAAAGGTCGCAAAATGGGAAAAAACTCACTCAACAAATGTCTCACGTAACAACAAAAATTTGGCCTCATTTGTGGTCATAAGATGAGGACTACTTGTGTAGCATTCATCCACCATTTGGCAAAAAATCAAAAACAAAGATACAGGTGTGCGGGTAAAATGCATTTGGAATGCTTTTAAGGCTTCAGGTTTGCCACAAGTTTGCAATTTCCATCCCTGAGCTAATGGCTTCCTTCTTGTAGTCCACTCATTTTATGACCACAAATGAGGCCAAATTTTTGTTGTTAAGTGAGACATTTGTTGAGTGAGTTTTTTCCCATTTTGCGACCTTTTTTACCATAGTTGTTAAGTGAATCCCTGCAGTTGATAACCTGGCTGTTAAGTGAATCT